ATATTATCAAGTGTGAAACAGATCGCCAGCCCAGTTTGGATGCATGAGACAAGTGCTCGGGGCTGGTGCACTGGGATGACCCAGAGGGATGGGATGGGGGTTCAGGATGGTGAACACATGTAAATCCATGGTTGACTCATGTCAATGTATGGCAAAAACCACTACAATATTGTAAAGTAATTAGCCTCCAACTAATAAAAATAAATGGAAAGAAAACAGAACAAAACTAAAAAATCCAGTTAAAAAAAAATACAATAGTGGATAAGCTTCACATATTTCCCCCTGAATATCGCATCTCTCAACCAAGTTCTGACATTCATCAATCAGCAGTGAGGTTCACACAACACCTGCTAATAAATGTGTAGCGGACAGCTATTCTCCGTGATCAATTGAATATGAAGCCAATTAAGCTACTGGAGGGGATAAGGATCTTCTGTGAATGCTGAGAAGCCAACCTCTGACTAGGAAGATGATCATCCTACCTCCACTGGGATCACCTACGATTAGGATTCTAAAACTCCTTAGAAATGAAAGTGAATCTTCTCCAAAGCCATATGGTAGCAAGTAACATTTATCAAAGTCCCAACCCAAAGTTCTACTATGTATAGCATTGATTAAAACAGCTTCAGCCAAAAATATAATCACGATAGGCAAGGCATCAACAGTCTGCTAAAGAATTCTCAAGCAAATAGTAACAAGTTAAGTAAGTCACTGCACTTAACGTTATTTAGAGGATTATATCACCAATGATATTCAGTAACATTTCACATATCTGCATTTTAACCACCCTGTTCAAGTACAGGAATATATCTTTCTTCCTCCTGATTATTCAGCACCAGACGTTAAGAGGCACAGAGTGCTAAAGCTCACTCACTGAACTTAGGTGTCTCAGTGCTTTTTAGGTGTCTCAGTGCTTTTTTTTTAAACACTGGATAAATTTACTTATCTGCTTTCCTAGTTCACAACCAACTATAATGAGCATGTCAGGATGGGAAGCACAGAGGAAAGAGCTGGTAGAAACAGGCAGAGGGGCAGGAAACAACTGCTAACTTGGTATGAAGAGCCAGCAAATGCACACGCAGAGCAAGCACAACAAACGCACCATGGGGCCATGTAGCAGACAGCTCTGCGCCTCAGAGTCTCCAAGGTGCCACTCACAGGGTGTGTTCACAGACACAGACCCAGAGCAAAGTCACTTTTAAGGAGCCTATGCAGAGTCTTTTTAAATAAGGTAGGGAAACGTATAGCGCTTTTTAAAAAGCAGTTTAACCACAATGCTTAAAATAGGATTCTTTATTGTACTATAAATCTGAACACTTAAGATTGTAAGCTTCAGTTAAACAGACGACTGCACTCCACAAAAAATGCTGAGTAAAGCACTGCAGTCGACTGGAGAATTCTAACTCAAACACTAGTTACAAGAAAAATACGAGCATCTCATTTCCCAAATACAATGAGAAAATGAGGTGCTCTTCAAATGAGGTTATCTGAATTAACATTCAAGTTATGAAATAGTATCTTGACCTATAGAAAACTAAGAACTATGTACATGTTATTAAAAGTATTTTAATTTTGAAAATCATCATTTGTCTCAATTATGCTTACTTCATCACATTATCTCTTTCAATCTTTCATTAGTCCTTTCCATACACAACACAGGGAAGTTACAGCTTTATGTGGGGAGTTTCTTTTAATGTATTGGTTTAGAAGTTTGTCAGATGTTATTTTAAAATATTTATGCATCTATATTTAAATGTATATCTTAATAATTTTTCATAAACTATTATTGACCCACGGAAAGAGAACCTGTATTTTAATTTTCCTTGTCACCAGAACTAAAATCAAAGGAGTACGTAAGTTTTTCAATAACTTATGAAGCTTAAAAATGTAACTAGTACCTGATTTTCTAGGATGAAAAATGCAGGTTAAAAAATCCTCAAGCATTTTAACAATTTTTATAAATGGTAGAGAATATGCAGAGAAAATACTAAGTTTGTACATAGAAATAAGTCAGTTAATGAATATTTTAGAGTTCAATGTGGAACATCTAGAGACTCTGAACGATCTATTTTCTATCAAAATCTGTAAAAAAAAAAAAAAAAAATTAAAGACTACTTATTTGCTCAGGTAAGTACTAAGCGTTTTTAGTCTACAATATATGTGTTCATGAAAAAACTGATGAAATAATTACACAATCACAATGAACCAAAATTCAATTCCTGACTATCCTACTTAACCAAATAACTCACTTCCAAAGTCTGAGCTGTAACACTGTTCTTAATATGAGGTATTTTTAAACCAAAAGAATTGTGTAGTTATGTAATAGGGCTGTAAACCTAAACTGAGAGTATACCTAGACTGTTTAAGGGGTAATGAAAAGCATTACTGTATAAGTATTGATGCATATCACCTGTACTGATTAACCTGCAAAGAACTTAAACAGGTTAAAGTATCTTCCCACCCTCAACTAACACATATACCAGAACGCTACTCAGGGGTGGGGGGAGTTTGTTTTGGTTTGGCTTTCTCTACTGTTCCATTTTTTTCAGAATACCAGTAGAGAATCAAGGTATCACAATATAGAAGGCACAATTCAAAATGTTCTTGTTTACAGAGAAAAAAGCACATGCCTCATCTAGCTACCATTGAGCATATGTCTACCATTACCCTGCTCATGTTTGAAGAAATTCCAAACTAAGCATGAACCAACCCATTCTGCTTGAATGACTTTTAGCTTTTTTTTTTTAACTAGGTTTAGGGCTGTCAGTGAAAATTACCAATGATTCTATCCAAGATTATTTTACAGATGAGAAAATTGAAAAACAGACTTGTTAAAGGACACAATTAATGACAAAGTAAACTTAGATCTCAATTATATTTTCACTAAACCAGCTTCTTCCCAACTTAAATACAAAATCACGTCTGATCTGCTACATGAATATTTTAAAATAAATTAATTAATAGATTAATTAACTTGAGATACCCAGGTTCTGGTAATTCTGAAAGAGAGAAAAGCAACAGAAATTCACAAATACTGATATGTTTCTTTTGCAGAATTCGAGGTAGGTATACTTAACATACCCAAATGGCCTACAATGACTTTTCCCCCAAAACCAAAAGCCTTTAGACAAAATCTATCAAATAGGTTTCAGTACTAGAAAAGGATAATAAATGACATGCACCAACTATTTGAACATGAAGAACAGTGTTAGTAACATTATCCACATAAATACTCAACTTGAAATCTAAGCCAGAAACTGAAATTTATTATAGCTATGATAATGAAATTTCTTTTAGCTACAGTACTAAATTTATCGTAAACTGTAACTAAAGTCAGCATGTATGCTCATTCCAGAGTAGAAAAGCATTAGACAAATACTACAAAAATTCTAACCTGTAACAACTGTCCACACAAATCAGTGTGATGTGACTGACATTCCTTAAACATGTAACTTGAATAAGGTTCAGATTTGTGCCTTTCTTTTCCTGAACTGCCTCTGCTGCCATGACAAAAATGGAGACGCAAAACAGCATCCTCCACTGATTTTTTATTCATCTGTTTTTACTGCCTTTAAAAATTAGTATAAAACCTCTCAGTGTTTTACCCCAAATCTTCAACACCCACCCTTGTGAAGACTGCCACAATGATTGAGAGCAATTTATGTCAGCCCAGGTGTTTAAAGTTCCAGGTTGAAATATTTGGGTAATTAACATCATCCTACAGACACTCAAAATCACTTCAGCTGAGACAGTAGGTAACAAAACTCCCAAAAACTGTAAGAAAGTTAGCCTTGCTTACTGTTCTATTTACCTAACTTAAAAACACTGCCTAGATGTAAAAAAATTTCATACAACCTATCTTCCTCAAAAGGTTGCATCCTAAACAGCACAAATGTCAATTCAAAAGATTCCATATTAATATTTTACTTTTATAACTCCAAGTGCCATAAAAGTCAGTGAGGCAGGTCTTCCTACCAGAGGGTTAAGTCCAGCTGTTAAGTCCAAAGCAATTAAAAAAAAACAAAACTGCTCAAAGTTACTGAATATAAGTCCGAGTATAAACATCTATATTCTGCTTAAGATGCTAGACACATCTTTACACGATGAAAAGAAAAGAAAATTAAATTGTAAAGGAGGGAAAGGTCTCCTCATTCTTACTCTTACAGGATTTTTGATGGCTGAGGAAGAGTTTCACGGAACAAAGTACTTGTACAACAACTTGATGGCTCAATGACGTTCCTAAGAAATGAATGCTTAGGACTACCATGGATTTAATACCCAGAAACAAGACTTAAACAAAATGTCAGCATGTTAGAAGTCAGTTATTTCTGAATACTAAGCTGGTTGAAAGTAATTTCTAAATACATTTTTAAAAATAAGGGAACACTACGATTATAGTTACAAAACAAAGAAAGGCAAAACTTGAAATAAATCACCGGCTAGGTATCCTCCACAGTTCTACTCTTGGTATCAACTGCAGAAATATCAGTAACACCGCAATTTAGAGTGCAGAGGACAAGGAAACACATCCCCACGCGGCTAGCATGTAGAAGGCACTCACTATCTGTGGCACGAAACGACAATGTATGTGGAAACAATCAAACACAGAAAACAAAACGCACTCCGATTTTGAGGCAACACAGTCAACAATTACTTAACGAAAAGCTGCCTGACCGCTTAACGCGCACTAAAGGAAACAGCTCTTCCTGCCCGCCCTCCTCTTTCACTCAGACGCTAGACTGTACCCTGAAAACAAATCCTCCCCCAGCCCCGCCCCAAGCCCTCCCCTCAGCGGCTCCCAGCACTGAAACTGACGGAAAGTCCGGGCCTTGGCGGAGCCCAGACCGGCCCCACTCGGGACGCGCTGGCCGCGGACACGCCCGGCGCGGCGGCGGCCGGGGCTCGGCGGGCTGTCTCCGGGACCCCGGGGGCTAGCGCTCTCCCCAGCCCGGGCGCCGGCGGCCCCCTCCTCTGTCCCCGAGCGGCGGGCCGCGCCGTACCTGCACACCGTGATCAGGTTCCTCCTCTCCACGGCGGCGTTGCGGGCGCTCAGGCTCTTCTTGCCGCCGCCGCCCCCGCCGCGGCTCCCTCCCAGGCCCCCCAGGCTCCGGGAGGCCATGGCGGGCTGACCCCCGGGCCCCTTTGTCTCGTGCGACCCCGCCCGCCCCCCCACACCTGCTTCCCTGGGCTTCTGCTAGGCTTGCGGCCGTGGGGGCGCGGGAGGGTGGCAGGGAAGGAACGGGGACGGAGGGAGGGTGTGGAAGACGATGGGGGACTCGCACCCGGGCACTGGCGGCTGGCGCACCGCACCAGAGCTCTACACACATACACACACTCACGCGCACACACGAACGCACCACCCCCGCCCTCGCGCGCGCCGCCGGGCTGTGCGTGCGGTGCGGCGTCGGCCGCTCCCCTGCTTCCCCAGGGATCTCGGCGCCGCGCACGCGCGTGCCCGCTGGCCCCGCACGCCCAACCACCCGCACTCAGCCGCCACTCGCGCCCCAGCGGCGGAAGCCAAGGGGAGCCACGGGCCTCGCGCGCGCAGCCCCGCCCTCTCTGCGCCTATCGAGCCAATGCCGCCCCAGCTGGAGCCAATCGCGGCACGCGAGGGGCGGGGCTGCCGCGCGGACCTTTAAAGCTACCTGCTAGCGCCCGCCCCGGCGCGTGGGCAGCTGTCAAGAGGCCGGGCTGGCGCTCACCACCCGTGTGCTGCAGGCAGTCTGCACACTGGGGAGCTGCGCCGCAGCTGGCCTGGGGCTTGTGGGATGTGGTGCTCACGTGTGCCCCGGGAACATTGTTGAGCCTTTCCCGGAACCCAACCAATGGCTGGGATCGCTAGCTCTAACGGCTGACCCTATTGCCGGAATCCGACTCCCCAGCCTAGTGGCATCCGTAGCTACGACGCCGAGCCGGCACTAGCTCCCCCTCCTTCACCTGACCCAGGGCCTGACTTCCAGGAAGGGAGCGGATTTTGTTGGTGGTGGTGTGCGTGTGTGCGCGCGGGGGTTTCGGTCCTGGTGGTGGCGGCTTGTGTGTGCGTGTGTGTGTGTGCGCGCGCGCGCGCGCTAACGCCCTCCCCTGGCCTGATGGACAACTACAGATAGCCCAAGGAGGGAAATTGCCCTCAGAACATCCCTGCTGGGGCGTCTGCTGGTGAGATTTTGACGCCACTTCGCTCCTGTCCTAGCCCCCAGCATGGCGTGCAGCCCGAGTGACCGCCCACAGAAGTGCGCCGCAAGTGAACACTGCACCTTTCGCGCTTCTCCGGTCCTGGGCAGTGACCCCGGAATTAGGAGCCGGGGGCGGCGAGCCTCCGGGCAGTTCGGCCTTGGCTCGGCTGGGCTGCTCCCAGAGATGAGGCAAGGAGTGCTATCCACAGCACGACTGCTGGGAACCTAGCGCCCACTTTCCAGAGGTTCTCCACCCCTGACCTTACCAACAGGGAGGTCCTGGCTTTGACCCCGAGTTCTCGGACGCTCATCTCGGTTGGCCATTCATCTCTCTTTGCATCAGTATGCCCAGATTTTAGGGTGAAGTCCTTACTCACAGCTGTCCCTAGGATACCTGGCTCGCTGCTGTGCAGAAAGCTGGTTTTCAATAAATGTTCGTTAAATTTAACTTGAAGTCGCATTTGACATTATTTTACTCTAATCCTACAGTTTTGGTGGCTCCAAAATCCATTAAACTTTCAGCTCTGGTGTTGACATTTCTGTCAAAGAATATTATAGAATAGATATATAGATATATATATATAGTGTAGGTATCTCTGTACTTCTTGTATATTATACAAAGTACTACAGGAGGTACTGTTACTGTATGTTGAATGCTTTTAAAACGGAGCTTTGTATATTAAAGCTGTAAATTACTAATTTCCAAGGTTGTAAAAAATTTAAATCTCTATTTGAAATCATCAGGGCAAAGACTGAGCCCTTTCATCCACTCAGCTTAATCACAGTATTAATAGAATGAAAATACCATGTGGAGAAAAACAGTCACAACTAGTTTATTACAATAAATATTCAGACATTAAAATTATAAGACAATGTAGACTTTAAACATGATCTTTCACATAAAAGTAGGAGGTTTTTCCAGGTCAGTGCACTGGTTGCCAAATATTTCTTGTCTGCTCTGTGATGAATGACATAGAGGCTTGTAAGGAAGTTTATCCTACTCAAATCGAAATTGTTATTTAAATACAGATGAAAACTGCATAGAGAAAAGAATGGGAAGCTATCAGTTATCAAGAAAATTCCATGCTGGTTTGTCCTGCAGGAGGGAGAGAACACACATGTCTGAAAGACTTATGAGGAAGACAAAACTGAGTGGTCACATCAAACAGAAAAGTGAGATGTCGTTATTCTTAAAATTGACTTCCTAGCCTTTCAAGTACATTTTCATGTTACTTGCACTACGAATTTACAGTTATGACTGGAGTCTTAGTAAAACTCCATCTCACATGATTAGGTAATAATGTTATTTTTCAAAAACTACTTTTACTGGGATTCAGTTGAAGGCAATTGCTGCACAAGATTTCGCCTTAAACCTTCTTTTCTATGCACAGCATGTCATTAAACGGCCACATGGGGGCCTTATTTGATAAAGCTTTTTTCTTAATTACTTTGAACTATATACTGTGGGTCCCATTCTTTCTTCAGATCACTAATCTGGGAGATAATGAATCAATTATATTCCAGTGCAAAGTACAATACTACTATAGAAGCACATGAGTTTTCACATTATGTTTTGAACTATTTTAGTACCTATTGCAATTCTTTATTAATCCAAGAATTGGCACAAAGGTTATTCAGAGATGTAAAAAAACACAGTAAAAATAATGAGAACAGTAAATGCCTACTTTAACCTACAAGGACTCCATAGAACTCAATGGGTAGATTATACTCGTTCATCGTTTCCCCAATCTCCTTGTTTTCCCCATCAAAAAAGACCAACAAAAATTTTAGGAAGACAAAATTACAATTGTAACACATAAAATGTCCTCAAATCTAAAATATTATAAGCCAGAGAGATTACCAAATCATCATTTATAATCTCAAAGAAGTGGACTTTCTGTGTATACCCAAGCCCAGCAGCCTACAGAAAAGATTGATAAAACTGAAGACACAACTTTTTTTAATCTATGAAGAAAGTTTCATCATAAACACAAAGGAAAAGTAACAGACTGAGAAAATGTATTTGAAATTCACATCATGGACAAAAAGCTAATTTCCTTTTATACACAACATTCCTGCAGATCAGTAAGCACTGGTTCAGTAGAATAAGGAAGGTGGAAGCCAAGTAGGAGACTGAAAGAGTGGGAACTGAGAATCATACAAATCTTTTTAAAGGTTATCATAATGGGGGAGAAAAGGGGGGAGTGACATAGGGAAATGTTGAGTAAAGGGATGTTGGTATTCTATCCCTACTGTTGTTTGTTTTCATAGAGATGACATGAGCACATTTTAAAGCTGATGGAATGAATCCACTGGTAAGGACATGTTAGTAATGCAAGAGAGAAAAATGATCAGAAGTGAGAATATGGAAAAGCAATGGGATCCAACGCATAGGTGGATGGATTGATCTTTGGTTAAAGATATTAATTCTAGTTGTAAACATAGAGAAATGTGGGAGCCCAGGTGCAAACATAAGTAATTTTAAGCTTTTATTATTAGAAAGATGAGGAAATTCCTATATGGTAACTTCTGTTTTAACTTCAAAATGGAAGACAAAGCCACTGGTTGAAAAATTCAAACAGTCCCTCTTATAGTGAATGGTGAAATAAGTTGACTAAAGAAATTTAGGACTCCTCGTCAGGGTCTGAGGACCAATTTAAGATTGATGAGGGCTTCCCTGGTGGCTCAGATGGTAAAAATCTCCTGCAGTGCAGGAGGCCCAGTTGGATCCCTGGGTCAGGAAAATCCCCTGGAGAAGGGAATGGCAACCCACTCCACTATTCTTGCCTGGAGAATTTCATGGATAGAGGAGCCTGGCGGGCTACATACAGTCCATGGGGACACAAAACCGGGCACAGCTGAATGACTAAGATATTTTCTTTCAAGTTTCGTGATGATGAATTTATAGTGAGACCTATCTATCCTGTTGCATGATTTTCCTTGATATTGTTAGTTTCGTAGTCATCTCAGGCTGCCATAACAAACAGCATAGTCTGGAAGGCTTAAATAATACAGATCTATTTTCCCAAGGTTACAGAGGCTGAGAAGTCCAAGATCAAAGTACCAGTCAGTTTGGTTCCTGGTGAAACTCTCTTTGGCTGTAGATGGCGCCATCTCCTTGTGTGCTCACAAGACCTCTGTGTGTGCGGAAGGTGGGGTAGCGGATGAGAGAGAGCAAATGCTTTGGTGGTGTCTCTTCTGAAGGGCACTAATCCATCATTAGGGCCCATCCTCGTGACCTCATCTAACCCTAATAACTTCCTAGAGGCTCCATCTCCAACTACTGTCGCACTGGGAGGGTAGTGCCTCAGTGTATGAGGCTTGGGGGAACTCAACATTCAGCCCAGATGATTAGGCTGCTGGCATGGAAGTAATACGGGAGCTGTTGGTTTTAGGCAGGAATGAGATTTTCATGACAGCGTAAGAGGAGAAGACAGAAATACAAGGAAACTTAGGATATTAACAGTATGATTCTAAAGAGATTCTTCAATCTCTTTAGACACAGAGGGAAAGATGAAAAGAGAAATGATGGGTTGGGGTAGAAAAGAAAGATCAAAGGACTGGATGATCTTTTCTTAGCTTGTTCTTGCCCTGTTTATAGTGCCTATAGAGTTATGGTATAGAGAGATGTTGAAAATGTTTTATTCAAATTATAGTTATCATTATTTTCCCTTATTGGTCTTTCCCTGGGTCATTTTAGAAGGGCCTTTGCCACTCCTAAGATTATGCAAAAAATGTATGGTTTCTTTTTTAAATAAAAAACAGTCCATCTTTTTTTTTTTCATTCAAAAACCTATTTCTGTAAAAATGTATAGGTGCTGTGGCTCCAGGAAGACAGATTTCACTTTCATTACATTTAACATCTAGCACATTGTTTTTAATATCATAAAATATTTTTAAATAAAAAGTTAATCTATATGGAATATATGAATGTGTGAGATTAGGACATATGTTTATTTTTTCCAAGTGGTTAGCCATTTGTCTAAGTTTACTTATTAATTGATTAATCTTTTCCTTACTGATTTGAAATGTTAAATTTGCCAACATCTACTTCTGTTTTATTGACTATGCCAAAGCTTTGACCGTGTGGATCACAACAAACTGGAAAATTCTTCAAGAGATGGGAATACCAGACCATCTAACCTGCCTCCAGAGAAATCTGTATGCAGGTCAAGAAGCAACAGTTAGAACTGAACATGGAACAACAGACTGGTTCCAAATAGGGAAAGGAGTACGTCAAGGCTGTATATTGTCACCCTGCTTATTTAACTTATATGCAGAGTACATAATGAGAAATGCTGGGCTGGATGAAGCACAAGCTGGAATCAAGATTGCTGGGAGAAATATCAATAACCTCAGATACTCAGATGATACCATCCCTATGGCAGAAAGTGAAGAGGAGCTAAAGAGCCTCTTGTTGAAAGTGAAACAGGAGAGTAAAAAAGTTGACTTAAAGCTCAGCATTC